ACTTGATTGGATTATTTTGTGCAAATATATTGCTTATTATCTTAACATAACATATTTAATAATAATTATTTCAGTTTGAGTTTAGATTTGTACCCGTTTGTCTGAGACTAAACTCTGGAAATGGCTGGTGTTGTTCATTATGTTATTTACAAGAATTCAGTCCACTTTTAATTATTAATCCAGCGTGAGTAAAACACTGCCATGGTGATTTTCACTGATGTGAAAAGTCATCAGTGGAAAGTGGAAATGAGAGGTTAACATCACATTCTGTTCCATTTCTAAATCAGCAGCTCACAAGTTCCTAGTGGAAAATAGCTGTAAATATTGAGCAAACTTTACACTTCCCATTTTTATCAAAGTAAACTGGAGTGTGTTTCAAAAATACCTGTGTTCAGTAACCTTCACTCTTCAATATTATTCATAGTCATTCAACATTATTTATTATTTTATTTTATTTTATTTTATTACTCTTTTAACATATAATAGGGCTTTTCACACTTGAAATAGTTAACCATGGATCATTCTAAATCCCGGGTAAATGGAAACATGTTTTACACTGCCCATCTAGCTATAAAAGTAAAGGCATGTCTAACCAGGTCAAATTGGCTGCTTTCAATAAAAGGTCCAACATACTAGGAATACTTTTAACTTTACGTTTAGAAAACCTTCCTTGTCTTTGTATATTTTGGTAAGTCCTTGAATTTTGGTTTGCACTTCTGTAATGGAATCTGAATTTCTTTTTCCACACCGGCTAAACACCCTCTGGCTCAGCCTGCTACAGTAGCCACGCCCCAAACTCTCGCTATTGGCTGTGCGGAGGTATGCAAATACATAAATTGACAGGCAAGTAATGATTGGACGAACATTTTATGGTCCTTTCATGGTATATAAATCAGGACCATATACAGTATATACATGCATATAGTCTACCCTAATCCGGCCTGGGTGTTGTTCATTAACTGATGTTTTGCACTGTTCCTGTTTGAACATTTGCGGTTTTAAACACTGCCGTGGTTTGCGCCAGCCCTTGCTGGTTTTTCCTGAATGGACTCTTCGGATTTCAAAGGTAAAAATGAAACGGTCTCTTTATCTAAATGGTTTTCCGTCACCATTTGACATTTTTCCCTCAAAAACTGAAACGACCATAATCTGGGATTAAGCGCAGTGTGAAAAGCTCTAATCTGGTATATAATTTCATTTAGAATTATTTCACCAAAAGCCCAATCCTTTTTTTAACTGTCTAAATCTGTTTTTAGGCCACTTTATTCTCTCCAGCTTTATCAGCTTGACTCTTTATCTCTCTTTGTCCTGCTCGGTTCCCTTGACAGCAGTGCTGTTGGCCAGCCTAGTGTTTCCCACACACACACACACACACACACATTCAGGCACACAAACAGACATACACACACCCATATACACGCTCAAACATAGTCAGGTCATGCTCGCTGGCAGTTACGTTTCCTTTTTATTTGATCAGCTGTGTTCAGCACATGCCCAGAGCTTTCCTCCTCATTCTATCTGCCCACACAACAGTTCTGCATCTTAGGGGAAACAAGCTACTGCAATCATAGGCCATCATGGATGAATGATTCTTGTCATTGATTCATCTTGATTCAATATTGTTTATATGCTTTCGGATTGAGTTTTTAAGCTATAACTTGTCCCAGAGTCAGAAAGTTGGAAAGACAGATTTGACACATTGGTTTATATCTGAGATGAATGTGTCATTGAAGGAAAGGTCACTTAGACATCTCTTGAAAACAGTCTATACTATATCTCCATTGACAAAAATGCTATGAGGTTTTCAGTAGTTGTCAATTTAAATGTTTTATTATGTTTTCAACTGCTCACTTGCCTTTTCCTCTTCATCTCTCTTTCTGTCTCTTGCATACAGGCTGTTTGTTTGAGAAGAGGCTGTGCTCTAGGGAGCAGTTCTGCTCTGATGGTGAGTATCACAATAGGGAGACAATATCATATGGCGTAGATACAGTACATCTTACGTTCAGAAACAAGGACGTGGTTCTATCTTCTGCGTCCTGTCTCTTTATTTCTTGCTCTTGATGATGTAATTGTGATTTCCGGATCATCATTTGACACCGCAGCTCTGTTACATCCTGCTAGTGCTAAGACGCAACAGGAGACACATGCACACAGCTAAATAATTTACACTGCAGGAACTTTCACTTCACTCATTTCATATTAGTCAGCATTAACGAAGATAGTGTTGGTGTATACTGGAGGCGGATGTTTATGTTCTTTGTGTCAGCATTTTACATAGATCTGGAAAAATCTGGAAATTATTGTATTTTGCATTATTTTCTAAATTAATATTTTTTTCTGTAACACTTTACAATAAGGTTTTATTTGTTAACATTAGTTTACATGAATTAACAATGAAAAATACTTATATTAATCCTAGATAATGTTAATTTCAGCATTCACTAATGCATTATTAAAATGAAAAGCTGGATTTGTTAATATTATTTAATGGACCTGAGCAAACATGAACTACCAATGAACAGTTGTGTTTTATTAACTAACGATAACAAAAATTAATAAATACTGTAACAAATGAACAATTTTGTAACAAAAAATTGTAAAAAAAACAGTGCTACCATATTTTTTTTGTTACAAATGATATTATTAGTTTAACAATTTGAATGGAAAGTAAAAAAATGGATTTAAACAAATTTCAGCTGCACAAACTCCACAAGTTTGTGTAAACTTAATGATGTAAAACCAGTATGATTTGAGAATGAATTGTTTTTGTTTGAATGCAATTACCTGAAAATTCCAAACTGGAATCATTCACATTTCGTCTATTATTTTGTACTCCTCTCAGGGATTTACTGTGTACGTATTTCCACAGCCATGAACCACTAGTACTCTGTCACCTGCTCTTCTCTCTCACCGTCAAGTCCCTCCCACCTCTGCTCCATGTCCCCTTGGTAACGGTGACATCATCAAGCTGATGACATCACTGATGACTCACTACACGGTGCTTACGCACAGACTCACGTCTTTGCCGTGCATCCAAACACACTCATACGCACATACGCGCCCATATATACCCACATGCATACCTGCAAATTAAAAAGAGGTTACACAAATATGAGGAGCTCTTTGAAATGCATTTCAGAGACTCGTGTTCGCAGTGACGATTAGCTGGGTCTTGGGTTGCTGTACATGGTCAAGGCTTCCGTATACCCAGTGTCAAAAAATGATGGAACAGAGGAGTATAAATAAGCTTTTTTTCTTTTTTTTTCTAGTGAAATGCAGTTTGCTTTCAGTCCAGTCTCTTTTGTTCTGACACCTCCACACACACACTTACTGAAAGTCAGGTGTTTGTATTACACTGAATATGTACAGAGACACAGAAAGTGGGAAAAGGGAGTTATTCACCTTTTATATAACATACTCTGGTGGTGCTTGTACTGTTTAATTTCTACATTTTTTCTCGTAATTCTGAGTTTATATCTCACAATTCAGACTTATCTTCTGAGAATTGCGAGAAACAAAGTCTGAATTGTGAGATATAAACTCAGAATTGTGAGGTATAAATTCAGAATTCAGACTTTTTTCCCAGTTTATATCTCACAATTCTGATTTTATATCTCGCAATTAACTTTTTTTAATCAGAACTCTTGAGTTTACTTCTCACAATAGTTTTTTTTCCCCACCACTGAATAAAAAATTAAAAAGGTAATTGCAACTTTTTATCTCACAATTCTGACTTTTTTTTTTCTTGCAATTGTGAATTTATTTATATATCACAATCCTGACTTTTTTCTCAGAATTTTGATTTTGAATCTCACAATTCTTATAATTCTGAATTACGATAAAAATAGTCTGAATTGTGAGATAAAAAGTCGCAATTACCTTAATCCATGGCAGAAACAAGCTTCCATAAGGCATAATAATAGACATTTGTTAAAAAGAGATTCCAAAAGCCTTCACTTCATCCCTTATTCTGTCATTTTATCTGTAGGCATTTGCTCAAAAATAGATTCTAACAAACAATTATTAATTTTTTATTATTAATAATTTCAGATGAAAAGTAGTTATATTGTTACTAATTCTGGCATATTTACATGGTGTATATTTATACAACAATGTTCATGAATATGCATGGTCCCTATTAAATAAACCAATAAATAAATAAAATAAATAAATATGTATGTAGCTTGCATGTATTTATGTGTCTGTCTATGCTTAACCAATGTATAGTCAGCCATAAAACAAAATAAAAATGCAGCAACTCCTGAAAATGTATTTTATGAATATTCATGTATATATTATGAGAGGAAGAAAATAATTTGTGTTGTGTGTGTTACTCCTTAACTGTACATCTTTCTTTTGCTGAAGTGATGGTGTGACATCAGTTCTCCGCGGTCACTTCTATTGCGATGTAATAATGTACTGTGTATTTCCATGCCCCTGGGCAACTGATCTATCTCCCCCATAGTGCTCTCACATCTCCATCTGTACTATAAATAGCTGTGAGTCATGTTCATGGACAGACCTGCTCTGAGATATAGAAAATGGCCGGGTTCATGTTTCGAGCTCATCTGCGTGAGGGGATCAAGGGCTTTTTTTAAACCACACAACTGGAGGTTTAGTCAGGGATGAGTCAGTGGTATATGTGTGGGATGTGAGTGTATGTGTGGGGTGGGTTGAATATGTTATGGGTGTTTATTAATCAAGAAACTGGCTCATTTTTCACTTATGGGTTATTTTGTTTGCAACATTTTAATGTGCTTCATAATCACACCGTATTTATATACGAGTGTTTAAGATGCTTTATATTGTATTATTTTGATGTTTATACTGACATCAGTAACTTTTCAACATAATATTCAGAAGATGCGTTTCAGATCATTATCAAAACGTTATTTTAATATTATGTTAGTTTATATTATATTATTTTAAAAGAGGTTTCCTTTCCAGATTTTGTATTCAGTGTTCTAGGTATGAATGGTTTGTGTTTGTATGTGTTACAGACAAACTCTTTGGACAGTGCCGGAGCTCCAGACATGACCAGGTTCAGTACCAGGTCTCTGTTCCTGTTCTTCAGAGACTGCAGGAAGTGCTCAAAGAGTTGATGATTCAGGGTAAACACACACACACACACGCACACGCACACACACACACACATTTATTTTTCTGTCATGGTGGGGACTTTCAAATTGCCTTCTGTTGTTTATATACTGGGCTAATAATATTTTCAAGCCCCTACCTTAAAACATAACCACAGATTCATTAAGATATTATTTAGTATGTTTATTAAGCCATCTTTCTCTCTGGCCAGGCCACACAATGTTTATGATTTGAGGTTTTGTAGGCTAACACACACACACACACACACACACATACACACACACATTTACAGTGGTAATGCTATTATTTTTGTGCTTTTTATTTTTTGAAAATATGAAAAATTAGGAAATGCAAATATGATTACAAATCAATGAATAATAATCCTGCATTAAATCATGTATCCCGCGACAGTAAACAGCTGGTAACTTTGCTATCCGTTGCCTTTTAATTCACTGTTACTCATATTCATTGGCTAGAGTAAACATTCAAATGTCAATGTGCTAAGTGTATTAAAACAATTTGCTAACAACATTTTTGTTTGTTAATTTATTACATTTCACTGATTTGAAATAAAAATAAAAGAAAGAAATCAATAATTACTTATATACAAAAAAGTTTATAATGAAAAAGACAAGCTACATTTTTTCAACATTTTATCTATCAGGATACATTGCATTACATTACATTGATTTTATTATGGTACTGACAACAAAACAATTCCCACAGTTTTAATATTTAACACTTCATTTATTTTCTGATTCATTATATTACCAGTTTTTGCAATAGAAGTACTGTCATCTGCTGCTATATCTAATGGAGTGTGCAAGGTGTATCAAAAGCATAATATAGAATAATTTAGTATAATATCAAATGAAATAATGAAGACATAGATTATCCATTAGGATTAGGAGAGACTAAAGGCAAACAAACAAAGCACTGCAGACAGGATTGAGTATCTCAGGCTTCAGACTTGTTTTCAAGAAAAAGTACACTCACAGTGCAAGCTGACTCACTCCTGAAATAAAAACTTTGGGAAGTCATGTACTGTAGTGCAAGTACTACTATGTTTAGTACTGTTTTACATGTACATGCTTACATTGTTTGTGCTGATGTGTGTATTTGTGTGCCTGTGAACAGGATTCTCCTGGCAGGATGAAATCACCCAACACATCATTGCAAAGGAGCTGAGCCATATTCCTCACACACGCACACAAAAGGTCCAGAATGCTCAGTGAGTACCAGGAACAAACAATGCTTTTAGTTTAAAGGAATAGTATCATTTACTCACCCTCATATTGTTCCAGACTTGTATTAGTCCAGGTGATATGTGAAAATAATGTTCACTTTTTCATAAAAGCATGAAACTTGGTACACTTGTATAGTTTGCGGCCGTAAACATTTTCAGAAATGGAGCCATCGCAAAAACACCTCGTGGTTGCCATGGCGACCATTTTACTTTTCGCCATAACCAAATTATGTATTTTGTGTCATAGCTCCTGAACCAAACATGATAACACAGAAAAGGTGATGTCTACCCATATGTTTTGATGGTCAAGGATTACAATGATACCATATACAAAAACATAAACTGTTCAGGTGAAGAGTTAATCGTGAAATCAGCAATGTGAGAAGGAAATCACAGTATCTGAGCTTCACAGTACCACAGCATTTACAAAAGTCCATATTATGGCTATTAATTTTTTATTCAATAGTACAATAAAAGATTGTTTTAATTAATTAATTATTAATTTGTTACATTTATATAGTGCTTTTCGGGGTACTCAAAGCGCTTTACATGGAAGGGGGAATCTCCTCAACCACCACCAATGTGTAGCATCCACCTGGATGATGCGACAGCAGCCATTTTGTGCCAGAACGCCCACCACACACCAGCTTAACTAATATTTTATTCAATAGTACAATAAAAGATTTTTTTCAAGAATACAGTCATATATTTCAGAGATATAAAAAAAAATATCATCTCAAATAAGTGTACGTTTCCTTACCTCTCAGGCACAGTCGGGTAGGCAGTAGTATGTTTCCAATACATTCTTGTTCTCTCGCAACAATGCTCTAACATCACGCAGACGGCAAAGCAATCTTGCTAAGCTACGTCCTATCTGCACCTCTTCTGCTTCACCTCTGTCATTTTCTGTGGGTCTCTGGAATTGTCAGTCAGCTGTCAACAAACTTCATTCTGGCCACTGCTTCTCAGTCTACTCTTAGTATCTTGGGCTTGACTGAGACCTGGATTCGTCCAGAAGACTCCGCGACCCCTGCTGCTCTCTCTAACAACTTCCCTTTCTCTCACACCCCC